TTCCTAGATTAGCGTCACGAACTAGCTTAACTTGTTACTTAGCCAGGCCTAGGACTGACATACTTAAGTTTTCCCCTATATATATAATGTGCCGTAATTATAATTCAGTTAATAGCGTTTTAGATATATTTTCGTTTTGTGCGACTTTGGGAGACATTAATGCTTATTTTCGTTAATGCTTGCCGGTGTGATTGTTGAGTGCTGGGTAGGTAAAGCTAGAACGCTTTTTTTCCTCCCGGTTCTGTTTTGAGGTTTTTTTGCAGCGTTTTAGCTTTCTCTACATACATCCACAACATGCATTTGTTTATATTTTCATGTTTATCCATCCTGTAATTGGCTATGGCTGTTGGATGTTGCTAAATAAATAAATGAATAAATAAATAAAACTATTCATTTTCTTTGGAATTGCGGTCCGAATTCTTAGTTATTTTTATATCAGCTTTTTTTGGTCTGAGTTTCTTTTCAAGATTCTTGCGTTTGAGTGTTTGTTCCATCTTAGCGATAAGCGAGGTTGGACTAAGCTTAGAACGCAAAAGTATTTAGATCACATATACAGGCCGCTGGGTATTGTGGCTCACCACAGCTGCAGCACATCTTCCATGGTATGACCTCATGAGCTCATCATGAATTAAACTCACTGCATTCGTAATTAAAATGGTCACATATGACCCTTTATCGTCCATTACCAGCCTTGATAAAAAAGGCACTCAAGGACAATCACACCAACAGCAATTCAACAACACAATATCGACGAACAGTAACAAGGGGAGAAAAATACCAAATGATCACTTGCTGAGTACCAAAATAAGAAACGATTTACATTCTATATCGCTAATCGGAATCCGACTCTGTTATTATAAAAATTTACCTTGGTATGCACCCGCAGTCATCCTTTCCTCTTTTAAAGTAGCGCCGACGACGGTCAAGGGCCAGCCTACCCTTGTTTCCTTTTCACCCCCCCGTTACCTCAGCAGATGGTGCTCGTGATTGTAGGAGCCCCGTTAACTCTTCCTGGTTCAGGTACTATTATTTATTTTCAGTCTTGTCGGAGATAATATACAGTTCGCAAAGACAAGCGTTTCAAAATTATATATGTTCCGGATAATTGTAATTCCATTGTACACGGGTTCCCAGACTAAAAACTAGCAAGACGCATGGCAGACGGGCCATTAAAGGTATGTTCCTCGGTGCAGCAGTCGACAAAGACACTCGGCAAAGCGGAAGATAAAATCCTTTCATGGCACCTCAAGGAGCCGGTTCAAATAAAGAATCTCGCAAGAAAAATAACGAGTCAATTGTGTGTCTGTGACAGTGACAAATTCATCTCACCCTATTCGATAAAGGATTTTTCCCTGTAACATGTATTATTTAAAATGCATTCATCTTAAATTAAATAGAGTTTGATAACCAGAATGGGCTTTTTTTGGATCCTGAACAATACGTGTGTACATAGCTTGTAATACTGATCCAGTTATTAAGCCAGAAGTTAATGAATACTGGAGTTATTTGCTACCCAGTAGAATTGCTAGACCTTTTAACATCGAAGACACCCTATGGACAAAGGAGCTGTCATGATGGCCAATGAGGAAGTTTCCTATTTTTCAAAAGACACTCAAAATGATAGTCTAAGTAAAATGAAGAACAGCGCTGAAAAATTTTGTTGAATATCTTGAAAAATGACAAAGTTACGCTAGTCAGAAGTTTATTATTTGGAGAATCGTGTGGTGGGCCGTGCGAGTGAGCGACGACGTCACATGAGGGAAGCATATCAGCTCAGCACCACTGGAAGGGGATGCGCCCGCCGCGCCGCGCCACATACGCTTCCCCCTATTCAAATATTTTATTGTACCTAGATGTACAAATACTGGCATATCAGCAGCATTAGAAAGAAGCGGTGCAAGGTAATGAATAGGGACGATAAATTGCCGCTGTCGGAAAAATTAACGTTGTTTTGCTGTGAATCCCATTTTGAGGTAAGCAGCTATTTAGATAATAGCTATGATAAAAATGGTAGCTATAATAATTATTATAAGTCTTAGTCTGTATGCCTCGCATGATAAGGTAAAGAATCTAAATGGTTTAAAGGAGAACAGAAACAGATTTGATTATTTTTTTTTTTATATCGAAACAGCCGCGCAGGCAGAAGCCTAAATGTCGGAACACCGCGGCTGCTATGATGATCCCATTGCTTTCGTTTCGAGATAATGTGAGTATTTGTATAGTGATCATCATGTGGCTGTAGGGGAAACACTGTTCAAACCTTGTTTGTCGCGACGCGGTGATGCATAGGCGTCGGTCAAGACTGGGCTTAATGCGTAATCATCTGAGAGGCTTCTATGAATTTTAGATTACTGCCACTAGTAGACAATCTGGCATTTGTCCAGTAGCGCTTCACGGAAGTGCATGGTTGTTCTTCGCTTCTTCTGTGCAGCCACATTAATAGCGCTACACCTTCCTTACAGCCACCATCTTGTGCAGTACAACCACTGCATTTAGCTTGATTACTGTTTCCTCATTTTCGGCGCATTCAAAACTGCAATGATACGGACTGCGTTTAACTCTATGTTCGGGCGTAATTCTGGCTTTTACAATCCAGGGATCCCGTTCTCTTTTTAACTGCACATAACCAATCGCCTTGTCTCCATAGGTGTCCCTTCCAGACCTATAATGACAGCACAAAAATAACAATACCCAAAAATGAATGACGAATCATTGATTCTACTCCTGGTTAACAAATTTTATTTATTTATTTAGCAACATCCAACAGCCATCGCCAATTACAGGATGGATAAACATGAAAATATAAACAAATACATGTTGTGGATGTATGTAGAGAAAGCTAAAACGCTGCAAAAAAACCTCAAAACAGAACTGGGAGGGAAAAAAAAGCGTTCTAGCTTTACCTACCCAGCACTCAACAATCACACCGGCAAGCATTAACGAAAATAAGCATTAATGTCTCCCAAAGTCGCACAAAACGAAAATATATCTAAAACGCTATCAACTGAATTATAATTACGGCACATTATATATATAGGGGAAAACTTAAGTATGTCAGTCCTAGGCCTGGCTAAGTAAAAAGTTAAACTAGTTCGTGACGCTAATCTAGGAATTAAGAAGTTAAGTTGTTCTAAGATGACACTGGAGTCAATAATGCCATGGATGAGCTTGTGAATGAACTTAAGCGTCTGCTCTCTAAATTATAGATTTTGTGTCTCGCCATCAACTCACTATGAGGAAAGCCAATAGCGGGATATATCCCGTCAGCTTTGTATGAGAGGTATTTTAAAAACTTTCTTTGAACGGACTCTAAGCGGTCAATATATATTTGATGATGAGGATACCATACAAGGGACGCATACTCAAGCTTAGATCTTACATAAGCATAGTACAGTATTTTCAGTGTAAAGGAGTTGTGGAAATCACCGGTATTTCTTACAATAAAACCATACGCCTTTGATGCAGCCACAACAGCATTTTCAATGTGATAGGAGAAGGAATGTTTTCTGTCAAATGTGACTCCCAAGTCATTAATTGTACTAGGTCTGTCAAGTTTCCTGTCACCAATACTATACTCATACATCATTACCCCTGTTTTTCAAGGAAACGACAAAACGTGATACTTAGCAGCATTCAAAACAAGTCTGTTTTCACGACACCAGTTGTCAACCCTTACAATGTTGCATTGCAAGCGATGACAATCGTCAATGTTAGAGACTCTACAGAAAAGTTTCATATTGTCAGCATATATAAGAAAATCGACATCGATAACATCAGAAATATCATTTATGAACATAATAAATAACAGAGGTCCCAAATTAGATCCTTGAGGAATACCGAACATTACAGGGTATTCGCTTGACCTATGTCCATTGCACATAACATATTGTTTCCTGTGACATAAATAAGATCTGAAAAATAGCAACAATGCATCTGAAAGACCAAATCTAGATAACTTATTGAGTAGAATGTTATGGTCTAAACTATCAAACGCTTTAGAGAAATCAGTATATATTACATCCGTTTGAAGTTGTCTATCGATTGATTCACAAACATATTGAGTAAGATGTAGCAAGTTAGTAACTGTGGACCTGCCTTTCATGAAACCGTGTTGACTGACGGAGATAGACCTGCTTACATGAAAATATAGCACAGTTTGTATCACTATTTCGAATGTTTTAGCGAAATTACTGATAATTGTGATAGCCCGATAGTTTTCTACATAATTCCTCTCACCTTTTTTAAAAACAGGAGTTACCCTATACAACTTCCAAATAGATGGAAAGTGATTATTTTTCAGAGAGATATTGAAAATGATCATGAGTGGATATGCTAAAATGGACGCACAATCTTTCACAAAAAATGCAGGTATTTGATCATTATTATCATCATTATTCTCCAGCATAGCAAGGGCTTCCTCCAGAGAAAAGCCCCTAAAAATGAAACAGGCATGTATTTTCCTGGCGTACAATATTTTGCACACTCAAATATAATGACGCAACTGTGAATCCGAAATAATAACATAAGTAATTTGGCATTATGAATGGAAAAAAGCATGTGTCTTTTATTGGTAGAAGCAATCAAAACATTTTTTTTTATTTACGTAAAGACCATATATTTACTTACTTGCCAAATCATATTCCATATTCAGCCATGTCACAAAAAATAAAAACCTCTTCACAAAATCGCAAAAAATCTTGATACAACCGCACGTTACGATTTACTAAGGCTTACTGAATAGATCTGTGCTATTACCGCGTCAAAATAAGCCCAGGTCGTTGCAAGTTTACGGTGTACCATAAATTGAACGCTAGGCATATCTGGGTTTCTGCCTTAACCTACCTATGTATCCAAAGATGAGGAAGCCTTTTTATGATATCGTCCTCTACATTTCTTCAAAACTGGTAAATGAGATAGCGTAGTCTAAAAAGGACCTCAGCCAGAAAAACAAGTAAAGAGACGTGCAGAGGACTAAATCTTGATACTTTCCTCTTACTTGTATGAAACCAGTTTCAAAATATCCTGTGAGTGAAGTTCCTTCCCCAAGGCTTTCAATCCAATATCGAAAAGCTACTGCAGATGAGGAAATAGAAAGCGATTATGCTACTCCAAATATTTGCATTTCATTGGAAAATTCGAATTCTTTCATCAAATGGAAAGCTCACAACGTACGTAATTGTCAAAAAACGAACAGGTCGACTTAAAAAATGTTACAAGCATAGAAGCTTCCTAAAGTAATAAAAGAGATGTTTTGTAACGCTTAGAAAAACCAATAACCGTTCATAAATCAAGCATTGTAGGATAACCTTACAACAGCGTAAAAACTGATTGGTCTCTCGAGTGTAGTCTGCCCGAAATGATATTTTCCCGACCGGCATGCAAAACGTTGGCAGCATTTCAAGCAAAAGTTGGCAGACTCGCGCAGCAATGACATCGTCGCAAGAAGCTAACGCAGGTTTTACGATGTTGTCCTGAACGTAAAGAGGAACAAGTACTTGACACACTTTATCATATGTCGGTTCATACAGAAAAATACAGGATGAATTTGGATAATGCAATTCCTCGCCTGTTTGTGGATAAACAACGTTAAATCTGGACTATCACATCGTTTTCTTTTCCAGAAGCGACAAGATCATTCCAAAGTTGAGGCACTACTGCACTTGGATAACAACAATATTAATGCTCCATTGCCCAGTCAGTTGGCAATGACATCCGTCCATAATAATGTTTAAATTAGATTGCGTGTACGACAATGGAGAATTTAATCCTGAATTTGTATTACTGACCTCGACCATGACCTTCAAGGTTATTAGAAGGTCAACTCGTTCTTAATGAACCCTATACTTTTGACTGGGGAATTACAGAAAACAGAAAATTTTACCTGTGTTTGAATATGTGCATGACAATTGTTGAGACTTGGCCATCAAGGTCAAACACAAGTTTACCTTAATTTCTTGATAATTCTGGAGACTGTGTAATGTCCAGATGAAATGACCTCTAGAATGCGCATTTCTCGAAATATTTACATGAGGAGATTGAAATGGGACACTGTTTATAATACATGGTTGGCTGGGAAGTTTCGGAACCGCACGATAATTTTTCAACTAACAATGGCAAGAAAAAACTAAGCTCCACGATGGGTCCTTGAATTAGGCCTCGCCCATGACCGTCAAGGTCATTTGAAGATTAAGATTTCTTAAAGGGACCCCATACTTTTGACTGCGGAAATGTAAAAAAGCGGAAAATCTTATTTCTGTGACAATTTTTGGAGCTTGACTTTGGACTTGACCTTCGAGGTCAAACACAAATTTACCTCAATTTCTTGGTAATCCCCAGATGAACTGAAGTCACTGTTCTTTCAGGATCGTTCCTAGCTACAGAAAACCACATTGACCTTGAATGTCATCATGGTTTAGGTCAGATCCAGGGTCACCATTGCATATCCGTGAAAACTCACCGTAACTGGGTTTGACCTTGACCTAAGGTCAAACTTTGAGAATGGTCATAACATATTTAAGCGTAAAATTCTCCAATATTCTCATTCACGGAATCAAAAATGGAGGGTTACATTTAAAAAGGCGACTTGACCTTCAAATCATCTTGAAGGTCAAATCCAAGGTCACCGCTGGATAACTGGGGAAAAGTCCTGTCAGTCGCGGGGCGTAGTTTGTTCATACCATCACCGTTTCACAAATTATCGTGAGATGCAGGAACTTTTCAGACATCCTGTATATTGACAATGTGCTCAGATAAGCACAATGTTCGAGCACTCTACGACTTTCTGTCGTGCATGTGCCGTTCCATAATGAGCAGCGAACACCGAGTCTGCGATAAGTACAATGGTAAACAAACTTTGAGCCTCATAATGCAATGTAGACGTAATTATTCATTATAATTTTGAGTACTTGCTGTGTGAGGCATTACCAGAAAGACGTTTTCAGCGAAACTACATATAATTGTGTAAGTTGGGAAGGCAAACAACTAGGAACTAAAGTTCTGTCAGTATTTGTTGTTTGCTGCTGAAACGTAATGCTACAGTGAAATAAGACAGTCATCAACAATCGTTTACGTACTGGTGTGAAATTTTCATCTTAGGAAGCTCCACGTCATTCTTGATTTAAGCCCCTAACTTCCATTTTCATATTCACGGCCCAATAAACGAACACTTGTGACATAACAAAAATTGTATAAACTTGCGATCAGGTCATTGATGCAGTAAATAATGCACTCACGAAGAGTAAGGTTGACGCTCCCAAAACTACCAGTACTTGTCCATTAGAAGGAAGTTTTAAACCGGTAATTGAATGCAATACGTTCCCTATTAGAATGCTCCATTTTTAGAACCGCGTAATACCTTCGACATGCCCTGAACAAACACAATTGTTTTGACACTATTTAAGCAAAATTAGAGGGTGTGCGTTTGAAAAAAGAGCTTTCATTTTTTTGGGACTCGCTAAATCCTCATTACAAAAAGTTCCGGATCCTACTTTAGGCAAGAATTGAAAAATGTTTGAATAACTTTTTAAATGTCGATGTTTTTGGGAAATCTGAGATCAGATGGGCCTTTATCAATACAGAAGAAACAGTTTAAGTAATGAGGGAGCGGCAATGAAAAGTAGGATATTATTGAAAAAGGAATGGAAGCATATGAGGTATACAAAGAGGTCAAAGAATGCGGGCTGGCCCTAAGCTTTATGGCTTGCCAGCTGGTCACTATCGGCCTACTTACATAGATTTAGATTGTGGACCGGAATAGGTGAATATCACTGTGGCAGAGGTATTAAAACTGCTAAACATATAAGAGAGTCTGGAACGCGTGAATGCCAAAGGGCAAATGGCGAGTAGTTGTGGATGCTTAAGGCCACATCTCAGGGAAACAGTAAATTGTAAAAACAAATTGTTGTGTTCATGCAATCAGCAGAGTAAGGGTGGAGTACACCAGGATTGTGAACTCAACAAGCCGTTATTTTCCACTTATAGGGTACCAGTGCGTCAAATATAGCGAATGAGCTTTAAGATCCTTTCAACAAATTTTAGCAACCAATAGCTGTGAAATAGTGAAAACAAAATATTGACAAAGTATGAGATGACAGCTTGCAATTGAAACATCCCCAGCTGATTGAATATTAAGAAATTACCTATGGTTTAGTCAAAATTTAAGGAAGTGTTTGATTTTTTAATAAAATTCACGTTTTTCTTACTATTATTGATTGTTTATTCATGTCTATATCATTTTCTTCAATTGATATGCGATTTTACTGATTTAACATCACCTACCGAATTCAATGACAATATTCACCGTTTTTTTTCGGTTCGGCAACACTGCAGAAAACTTCAAAAGCAATTAAGATTCCAGACGTCTTCCAAATCAAACAAAAAGGAAATACAACAATAAGTTTTGCAAATATTTTGGCAAATAGGTATTTTTGATTCTGACTTATAATGATAAATAGGATACATTTACAAATATCGATGTTTTGAGACCCAGGAATGCAGAATGTTCTGTTTGTTTACATTTGGTATGGGTTTCTAGATCACAAATTGATAATAAATTGTTTTTGGTGATGAACCAGTCGGAATACGTTTTATATCATTTGTTTGGAAAATAACAGAAAATCGGTACATTTCAACTATATGTATGTATTATGTACAACAACCTGTATGTGATATAGAGTATAGAGACAAAACTAGATTGCCATGCACAGTCATCAAAAACAGTGAAAACATCCTATTAAATATGATAGCTAGAAATTTCTTGCAATTTTAGTGGTCCATTCAAATAATAGTAATAATAATAGCGTTTATTTACAAAAAATACAAAGAGAAAAAAATAAAAATGAAGAAACAACATGAATTCCCTGCAAAAGGGACTAGTAAACAGACGAGCTGATTAAGGGACAAACGTCGACAAAAGTATATGTATATAAAGAAATTAGATAAAGAATATAATTTTACGAGAAATGTCAAATCATTTTAGGCAGATTTAACAAAAAAAAAAAAACAAAACGTTTAAAATATAAAAGGAAAGTAAACACTCCAATTCATCTAATAGAAATTTTCTGTAAGTTCTTTTAAAAGCTGACACAGACATAGACTTAAGGTTTGTGGGGACGTAATTATACAAGTGGTAGATAAAATGAGAAAAATATCTGTTAAACATAGATGTACGATGACGTGGTTGGAAAATAAGTTTCCTATACCGAACGATAATATTGTGAACATCACTTCGAAATGTGATATTATTATACAGGGTGACTTCGAAGTTGAGTCATTTATTTTAACAGTGAGTAGATCTGATCAAAAGAAATGTGTTTTTCCTTTACAGTTTTTCTGGTAAAATTAAAGTAACAAAGTTATAGCCCTTTGGAAGTTTGAGTACCGCCCTGTCTCATTAATAATATTATGTGCTCGTGTTTGGCAACAACGGATATAATCCGCCTTATCGATTCATCGCATAGGAAACAAAAAAGCGAAAGAATTTGGAACGATGTTTATACAATTATTTTATTCAGTTGTATACAGTCAGTGTCAGTCGGTAACGCGTGAGTGAATAGTGGTGTCTGTTGCGTGGCTCAAACGAAATCAAAAATGGCACATGTTTACGAAAATGCTGAACCTGTGGACATGATTCTTATTTACGCGGCATCACGGATTTATGCGGATCGGTTTCCCAATCGAGTGCAACCAACCCCTCGTGCCTTTGTTAATGTAGTACAAAGGTCTCGTCAATCAGGTGACTTAAGACCTCACAGGTCAAATACAGGTCCGCACTGAAATGCTTGTCGGGAGGATACTTTATAAAACAAGGTAACATATTTTGGTGTATCTTCCTTCTACAATCATTATCTGAAAATCAATGACTCAACTTCAAAGTCACCCTGTATAAATAAGGCGGAGTTTTATATTGAATAATTTTATGAAACAAAACTGAAGAGTGCAGATTTCTCCTAGCTACCATATTTAGCCATCCTATTACAGGTAAATACGTTAAAATTTTTTCACTCTAAAAATAAACCTAAGACAGGAGTTTTGGACACGCTGTGTCACAAAGCAAAGCCTTAAGTTCGGTAGAAAAGATAAGACGATGCGGAAATAACATTTTAAGCCGACCATAAGCACGGCCAATGCACTTATCAACATGCTTTGAAAACCTCAGGTCACTATCCATAATC